CGATTGATCGACATTTTATCCATTAAATCCGCTTCCAGAAAAGTTTCTTTCAAATCGTCATCGCAGGAACAGAGTTCAGCTGCTGCTGGTCAATATGCCAACAACCACGGGGTCACCTGCCTGGGCCTCGACCGCGTTAACGTTTTAGATTTGAGGAGTACCGAGCATGAAGGCGGCCTAGCAACCATGTGCACACAACATCAGACTGGCATGCAACTGCGCATAATAGTGTGAACTGCCTGTGATCACCTGAAGTACGTTTCATGAGAGGATTGAATTTCACAACTCGCTGTTGTAATAAGCACAGAGTTCATCTAGAATTGCACACACCAGGGAAAAAAAGTAGCATTCCCTTACATTGGATTAAGTTCGAGCCGCCAAATACGTACGCAGGTGGGAATCGCTTATGTGGCTAACCCGACAGGATATCGGAAGAGGAACCGTCTGCAATACAGATGACTTTGGGTAACTTAGTGGACAAATTCGGACGCGGAAGGTGAATGAAGAGCAGGATAGAGTGTAGTAGGAGGCGAGAAAAGGTGTCTCACAATAAACGAATTCACACTTAAGTCGTTGGTTTGTCCACTCAGTGGGAAACAGGGTAGAAGTCATCGCAGGCACTGGACCAGTTGTCATCGGGAATGGAAATGCCCCGTCAACTCAAAATAGGCGGCTTTGCGATAAATATCGGCAGGGGTCAATATTTTCATTGCTTAACCCTAAAACTAACCGTAACCCTAAATTGTAAATTTTCACCTTAAACCTAGTCTTCCCCTTAACCAAACCCTACACGAACCCATACCTTGAACCTTGACACAGCCCTGACCCTATCTCTAACCTCCAAACCTCCCTCTAAACTTATTCCCAGCTTTCACCTCAGTCCTACACCTAATTTCCCAGGAATTTTGCACAAAGCCACCTCTATTGCTTGCGGTTTCTGTTACCAATCATGCAAATAACCTTTACCGTTATTGGATCTGGAGGACCTTCTCTAATCTCAACTAGGTGTTTTGTCTTGTCGATAGTTTCAACGAACTTAGCCATGAAGCAGTCTTTTAGCTTATTGGCCTGGGCGATTCCATTTCCCCCATTTCCTACCTACACCAACTACGTTTTTTCCTCGAGCTCACCACCGGTTACCCGCTGCAATTAAACCGCCTTATACTGATTTAAAGGCCAGTGAGTCATGCCCCCCATTTGCACTCAAGACGCATCTAGCTGACAACGCCCTAGACCCGAAGAAGAAGAAGAAGCGCTGACTGCTGCTCCGAATGCATGCTCGATTAATTCAATCTGCCGTTGTTTTTTCCAGGGTACAGATGTGATCTTAGCGGTAAGTGTAGTCTGCACGGCTTACTCCTTCCGCTAAATGCCCCTGGAGGTG